CAATTCAAGCTGACCTCTTCAGAATGATTTGCAATATTTGAGATTCATTATAAGCTTTTTAGCTCTCTGATCAGTCAAGGTATTTGAGATGTACGGTTCAATATTTAAGATTATGCAGTTGTCAATGCATCCGTATGGCTGTCGAGTAATACAGAGGGTTCTCGAACATTGTACTGAAGAACAGAAGAGACCTGTTCTTGAAGCTTTGCATGCGAACGTTCGCTCACTTGTACTCGATCAGTATGGGAATTACGTGATTCAACATGTTATCGAGCATGGAAGTGATCCGGATAGGGATCGCATTGTGCGTGAAGTGAGTTTCGGCTTTAAAACCTCTAAAAATTTAGAGTAATCTCCCCCTAAATGTGGAGCCCCTTAAGGCTGCGCTTAGTATATGTCTACATTTGTCGACTAGGCGTTCTACCATGGTAGACGATAGGCAGGTGGCTGAACACAAACAACTTCCATTCCTATGTGGTGGCGCGTGACGAGTGATTTCCCTTAAATAGTCACGACTCGACCGCAACCCACACTCCATGCACGAAACGAGTCGCGCTATATGCTGTGGCCGGTACCTAATGTACCGCGGTGGACCTTAATTTGTGTAACATGTAGATCGGCGATGCGCTCGTTAGCACTGCTCCAATTCGCCTCCGACAAATAGCTATTTTGCTACTGTTGTTAACGCTGCTGCGAGTAGCCTATTCTAAAATCCTGAATTTCACATAGAAGTTTCAGATCACAGGCAATGTATTGAGATACGCGCAGCACAAATTCGCATCCAATGTTATCGAGAAATGTCTCATCTGTGCTGCACCTCATCACAAAACGATGCTTATCAACGAGGTTTGCGGCGATTCTGAAGAGTAAGTTCTCTCATCATTTTTAGCGCTTTCGCAATACAGGGGACATCCTCTAGGGTTAGTCTTAGATGACAGGAATTTTTTTTGGGGGGAGGGGGGAATGAAAAGCTGACACACCGGGAGCATCTCCTCCTCGCTTCAGGCTTGGTCCTGTTCTTAAAAGAATCTTCCACGGAAAAAGCTCCGCCCTCATTACTACAGTACAGAA